GGGAAAATGAACAATGTAAACAGCGAAAACAATAATTAAACATCGTCTTCATATCTTATAGTAGACTGACGTAGAATTAATGTTTAATTTACTTAAGTCAGTTAATAAAGAAACAAGGCGCAAAGTAAATTGGCATATTTGTTTGATTTTCTTAATTGAGATATCAAAAGTCTAGTACGTATCATCTAAAATATATAATGAACTTTAAAGGGCATGGCATATAACAGGTTAAAATGTTAGCTAGTTACATTGGACAGACCCGACGACTATTTAGAGGAAGGATCGAACAACATCTCCAACATTTACGTATTTCGCATTCTACCAATTATTATATGAAAGATAATTATCACATAAATGTCCAAGATTTTTTAATTATACTTTAGAGTCTGTAATAATTAAATTAACACTATGAACAAAAATTAATTAAAATTTAGAACTTCTACATTAATTCTAGGTACCTTTTTAAAATTATAATGTACCGCTAATACTTGAATGAAATTGATTCCGTCATCTGGTGTAGGTATTTAAAAGACAACGTTATCAAAATTGTTTCACTCGCAATTTATTGAACAGAAAACGTTTAAAAGGGCACCGTCACACAAGTAAATATACCTATACGTAAAGGACAACTATTATTGGCGATTGGCGGTACACATGGATAAACATGGAGTGTAAAGGGCACTTCACCAGTGCTGTGTGTACTTATGAAGGATAATACACAATACACGTCCGCTTTTATAAACGATCCCGTTACTAGTTAACGGTTCCGTAAACTGGAAATAATCACATTTGAGCTTGACCTAAGTATAACGAAAATTATTTTCCATGCGCCTACCTACAATATCAATACCTAATATGGAATATTAAGTATACCACCATCTTTAAATTTAGTTGGGTACGCAGTAAATGTAGTATTACTTTTGAAAATTTGAAATACCTGCTTAATTTTCTGCTGTAGGTACAGTATAAGCCGTTTATAGTGGTTCCGTTTATAGCATCGGTTTAGCTATAATGACAAAAGTCTGGTTGGACGCGCACCTTCACTTTTTCCTATTCTGAGCTAATCTTCGCATTTCCCTAAAACTAGAACAACCCACATCCTTAACTATTTGTGGACAGTAATCTAATCTAATTTTACTACTTCTCTTGGTTCCTGTTTCTGCTTCTAATATGTCTTTAACTGACCCTTCATGCCAGAAAGGCCTATGTCTTTCAATAATACCTTCTCATTTCTAACCTTTTCTATCTACGGTATCATCTGACTTCCTAGATACCGAAAATCAGCCACTTCTTCTAATTTTTCGTCTCCTATCTTTATATTCGCTTTATATATTTCCCTATCTAGTACAGCAGCCAAAATATGTTATTGCGGCTATGAACGAAAACCCTTCGGAAAAATATCGGTTTAGTATTTATTTATTACGCTAGAACAAGAAAATATTAGAGTTTCGTCAGTGAGCAAGAATTCAATCTTGCATCTTTCTATAATAACCGACAGCGTTATTGTTACATTTCTCTACAAACCACGCTTCCAACGGAAATTCATTTTTCTTTTGTAACTCAGCCTTTCGAAAGATTTATCTTCTATGCTACTCTGATGTATGTACGTACATGTATTACGAAACCTTTATTTGTCGTTTATATAAGAAACCAGCATATTCTAGTGCAAGTCATCAGCCAATACGTTTATGAAACCGCTTATAGTAAAACGTTTAAAAATAAAATCATGTAGGTAAAGTTTTTCCAAACGGATTTATCTTGGATTTTGATGAGTCTCGACCATTATCTGTTATGCTTATCTCAAACAGTTATTAAAACTACAATGGTTATCCTGACTTGGATTATACACTACAGAATAGTCAATAGACATTTACTACACCTTTTTCTTTGGGATTTATTTTAAAAATCAATCGTTAAAACAATTACAAATCAAGTAACATTATGTTTCTTGTACATGAACAATTTTTTCATTGGAAAAAGTCAATAAGAAACGTTAATTTGATAACGTATGTTTGAATAATTTATAACCAATTTTCTTTGTAGATTGAATGACAATATGTAATGGACAGGGTGTGCTACACCCACATCCTGTTGATTCTTTTGGTACACATGAAAACATGCTTTGGTTTTCAAACCCAACTAAACAAGGTAAGTTACCACAATTAAAATTACAGTTATCTTCATGATGACTCATGTAAATTAATATTATTAAAAGTTTATGGGTATGAATTTGTAGCATGCTGTACAACCTTTGATTTAGAGGTTATTTCTTCACGATGTAAAATACGAAAAAAAAATCCCTAAAGTTTCCTATTTATTATTGAAAAAAATAGTTTCTTTTTTGCTCTTTTCACTCTACCGTTGTCCAAAAGAAAAAAGACTTTACCATGTTTTTATGAGCCGTAAGTATAAACAAGTTTCATAATTCAGAAAAAGTTTTCCCAAGGAAAGGAACCCTGGGGTCTCCATATTCATACGAAAAAAGTTTATGATTTTAACTTATCTGGTCCTTGAAGTGATATTTTCTTTTCTGCTGATGTTTTTATAAAACGTTTCACCTTTAATTACATATAGGTAACTTAAAAAATATCATCAACATCAATATCATCGCCATAAAATTTAATAAGGTTTCCAATTCAAATAACGAATTACTGGAAAAATATCAGTAATGGTTAATAAATATAACTTTAAAGTGAAAAGGAAGAGGAAATCGCTTTCAAAAGTTATAAGAGTCATGTTAAAGATAAGAGTTTTAATTGTATTTCTTGAATTACACTGCTACAGTCTGCTCTTCACCGTTATCAAATGATTAAGTTTCACCCCAAATCCTCCAGCTACATTCAAAGACAGCTGAACAACAATGAAACGGATACCACACGCGATTTACTTCCTTTCTCTTTCTTATCGCGAATACAATAGTTTCGATGTTGAGCATGTACTTAATAAAGCATTAATTACTAGCCTTCATTCTATTCTGTTCTATTCCACCGTGAATGCTAATTAAATTAAAGGAAAGTCTCCTAACTTTGGATACTGCATTAACTCGAAACTCATTAACAGTTTTTTGCAATTGAAACCACAAAACGGAAGGTCTTTGTATTATAAAATAATCCTTGCTGAGGCATACAGCTCGCCTGCCCACTGTTACGTCCTTATTCGTGATGAAGACACAAAAAGAAAAGTAACTTGACAAGAAAGTGTTTGAAACAAAAATTACTACCCACATCATCCTCATCATAAAGTCACTTCGTCTAATGTTGAGTCTTCACAATTTTCGAAGACTAGAGCAACTGCGTCTCTCTAACTACAGTCGAACCTCGGTAAAGACCAAGGGAAACGTAAAAAAAATTGAGTTATTGAGGTTTTTACTTACTAAGGGTTTAAGTGTTTTAACTCTTTAACTCTTCAGCTTTTTACTTTAACATAGTTCCACTAACAGTAATGTTTTTACATATTTCTACTCTGTCTAAACCATGTAAACAAGAATTTTTTTAAATTAGGAAATTCAGCAATTCTTCTTCTTTTACATAGAAGACTTTCTTTCGATTCAAACCACTTTTCACTGGTTACTGAGGTGCGATGCCCAAATTTTTTTATTTTAAGTAATAGAAGTTTTGGACTTCAAGGGGAAGGGAACACAAAATTTTATGAATTTATAGAGGTTATTACGTTATAGAGGTTTAAGTTATCAAGGTTCTACTGTATATGCGAACAGTAATCTAATGTAGGTCTACCTCTGTCCTGTATCCCCTTCTAGTATATAGTCCATGTTTGGGAAGGTGTTCCACCAACCTAGCTCTTCTATTTCTTATCAACTTCCATTGCAAAATGACTTTAATTTTAATCCCATGTCTAACTTTAACCATTTATAGAACGAATAGAAAAATAGGCGATCATAAATTAGAAGAACTAGCTGATTATCGATATTCAGGAAGTGAAAATGCTAGTCTTTAACAAAAAGAAATCAGTTTTGTTCTCTAAATTGGATAACTTGGAAATTCGGAAACGTTTTGATGTTATATGAAAGTGTGTTAATCATGCAAAAATGGATCCAAGAATTTTGCAACTTTCATTGCTATTCAAGCATGAATCCTTACACAAACCTCTATAATAGACCATCTAAATATAGTACAGTATTATACACATTACAGTCTGATAAGCAAGAAATATATTATGCTAATTGTAGATGTAGTTGTTGGAAACTTGTCGACAATCTAATGGAAAAACTTTATTTTCACATTTAATTACATATACTAGTAGGTATTTTACGCTGCGTGGGTAGAAACTGAGAGAAAGCAAAAACTTAATTTTTCTTCATTTAATTATAAACTTGGTATATTAGTAAAGGTAAACTAAGTAACTTAATTTTGTTGTTTCTTATTTTGAAACAAAAAACAGCACGTGTATTGTAGGACGCCCCCCGTTGTGTTTCGCAACAAAATTTACAGTGAACATACCCCTTAAAAATAACCGAAGCACCAAAACTAAAACGACAACTGAATTATATTCCAGTGAAAATAATTACCTATTCCAATAATACAATGTATGTATTTTCCGCTAAAAAATATAGGTATTCTTTTGAAATAGAAACTGAAGAACCTAATGCCTTTTCTTTTTCTTATTTCTTTTCGGAAATGAAATGTTAAATTAGATTTTTAGATAAAAAAAAGTACCACGAAATACAGTAACATCCAAAATGTATAATTATCTCTAACAAAGTAAGTTAGGAATTAATGTTGCAATATCCAATTACGGAAAAACGCAATAATAGAAAAATTGTTTATTTAATGAAGAACAAAGGCACAAAGGTACTTAAAATTTTCTAATAAATAATTTCAATGGCTGTAGTTATCATAAATTCAAATCGAGTAAGCAGAAATTATTTGTTTATTTTAGAAAACCATGCATGTAATGTTTGTCTAAAAATAAATAAAACAAACAATACAGGGCGTTGTATAAAACATTATTTAATAATAACTTGTGTATCTTGATTGTTTCAGAAAATAGTAGACTCCAGTTTAGAAATAATTTACGACTTGGCAACGAAAAGTTTGGGTTCGCTATGCGTCACGCAAAATTATCAGTCTCTCCCGATACCAGTGAACCCGTCAATGTACGAGCACGCCCGTCAAAAGGCAGACTTGTCAGCCATGTTCCTACAGGACTTGGGAGTAACTCATCACAACAACGGTGAGTATCTCCCGAGAGTACCAAACATTGGAATTCGGTACCATATCTAATATTGATGCTCTAAATTATACCTTTCTTTGTGTTTTTATTTTTTTAATACCTATTGTACCTAATTAATTCCTACCAAAAGCCAAAATTAATGACTAAAAATAATTGCTAACTTTTTTTTTTTTGGCTTTATACGAACCCTGAAAAGACATTGTTGAGATCTAAACATCTTCCATATAAAAAATGGAAATCTTTCGACGTTTTACCCCTAAAATATAAATTGCTTCTTTGCTTCTTTTAAAACCAAGGGGTACGAAATCGCATTAAATCATTCCACTGAGAAAGGGAAGAAAGTACAGCATTCCCTCTTTCCCGGGTGTCAATTGCCACCCAAGCCCTGCCCGAAAGTACGATTTTTCCTGATTTTAGAGATAAAAAAAACCATTATTAAGGGTCCTTAATATATTATCCTTAGCCGCTATCTACATATTATGCTCCTATAAGTACCTGTAGTTAATAGAATGGTACCTTCAGAAACTAATTTCATCTCTACTTTTTACCAAGGATTTGTAAATACATATTAAACTCTCAGTTTAACCACAATGTACAATATCTCAATAAATTAGAAAATGTGACGATCCTTTTTCGATATATTTGGAAATACAAACCAATTCTTTACACAAACCTGTAGATGTTTGTTACTATTTCATACAATTATTATAAATACATAATTGTTGGTATTAAAGTTGTCAAAGATATTAACCACAAGTTTATTTTTAGTAACAACAAGCCCCTCTCCTTCCATAGCAGTGTATAATAAGTTACTTTTAAAGCATTAAAATATTACACAACAATAAATTGAAACAACATTATAAATGAAAAGCCTACCTTTTCTGAAGTTATCTCTCACGTAGTCGGTACCATTCCCAATTTCCCGGTCCAGAATGGAGAAAAGGCACAAAATTCACCTGTCGAGCGAAAACATCACCTTACCCCGAGAATCGCGTTACTCATATGACGCTTCTTAATTAGATGCTCATTGTCTCGTTCGATTGTCTTCGGGAAATTGCCACACCAGCCGCCAATCAAAGTGCCGCTTATGATGTCCTCGCTCACTATTATCGAAAGCTTCGGTCAAGATCGGAGTCCAATGAAATGTACACTTATACAGACGACTACGATACAGAAACTGATATTATTAATAATAAAAGGAATATTAGACATTCAATGAATTTATATTGTATTTTTGTAAAATATATACTTATAACATTAAAAATAAAGTCGTGTCCATACACTAAGCATGCGCTCAGTAATAAGCCTAATTCCAAAATAAATTCAGATAGAAATAATTGTTTGTGAACGGAAACCTACTTTGATTTCTAATTAATTTGGAATATTCCAACTACTTTATGTTATTTATAACTAATAGAATATTACTTTGATGCTTTTAGACTTTAATAAATAACATTAATAGTAATCCAAATACGTAAAATCCATACAATGTACATCTATTGATGATGGTAACTAATTTATCGATGAAACAATTGTTTAGACACAGGTTGCCATTATTGCCAAGTGTTTGTGTGTTTAATTTGGATTTATTTACGTACTTTCACAACAGTTGCACTAGCGAATTTTTAAATAGTAGATAACATTAGTAATACTGACATTTTGTTAGGTTAGGTAGATAGAATTCTAGATAGTTAATAGACGGAATATTCAAATTTTTTCGGTTTACTTGGACGATTCCCACTGAACCCGCTGTGGTATGAATAGTCACTCAGTCTTGCTGAACTAGAAATACTTATGATGTCGTCACTTCTTTGTTTCTGTTTGGTTTTCAATTCGTCTATTAGATTGTTCCTTATTGTGTTCCCAAATTCTACACTATCGTATCTGACCATATTCCTTGCTCCATTTTGCTGACCGTAAATCCTGCTGTCAGTATCGGTCTCGTCTTGCTTATTTTCCATTATTTCGACCACGTTTCCGTTCCTGTCTGTCCCATTGTTACCCCATTTTTTGACCAAACTTTCCCGGTGTCTCTGAAATTCGCTTAGAAATGGTCCTTGTTTTCCTACCTCGTCTGGTGGAGCAAACAGCGGTTTATTGGGGGTGAGGGTGGCGTAAATATGCCCGGTATGAGTTTCAATTACACCCCTCTCTTTGCCATTGGCATTTACGTTTTTTGCTTTCTTGAAGATCCTACCGTAGGAACACTCGATTTCATGGGTCCACATTTGTTCACCAAATCTATACCTAAACAGAGAACCAAAATTAACTAGGTGGATTTTATTGTACTTAACAACTGTTTCGCTACTCACATTATGGCTTCTTCGGAAGTATACAATAATAGTATTAAGATATGGTAAACTAGAAGAAATTGCTTTCTACATTTAAGGAGTCAGACAACTCAGAATGGAAAAAGCATTACAGACATAAAATAATAAGAATGAGAACATATTCATTTTCTCAGACATGAAGACTGTGGTCTATGTCATTATAAATCACCTTTACATGCAGCTACAACCATTGTAAACACTACTTCCGAATTGGTTTTGAAAATACTTCTGAAGAAGCCCCAGTGTAAAGAAGCAATTGTCAATCGCGGTATAATCTGGTCATTAGCATCATTTTTATTAAGTTATGAACTTCAATGAAGCATCGATAGACACCATCTTATGTGGACACTTAGTTAATTAATTGATTACCTGATGGTGCATCCCCTAAATTTGTAGATGCACGGAAAGATGAACGTTTCCAAAAGAATCTCAAAGGCTGTATGACGCCAAACTCTCCCTTCTGGAACCCCATGGGTTGTCACACATCTATGGCAGATATTTTTTCCATCCCCCGTGATAACTATGGGGTTGCAAGACAAATATCCTTCACATAAATAGCACTTCAACTGTTCCAGAAGATTGTCGGGAATGTCATACAACGTTATGTCTAAAAAAAGCCAAATAACAATCAGTCACTCGTATTCTAATTCAAAGAATAAAATTAGACATAAAATATTGTCTTAGTTCAAATATTACACCAAGATACACGTTACAGAACTAAAATTTAGAAAGCATTTCCAGTGGAGATAGTTAAGATGTTACTATATAGAAGTCGAAAAATAAAGTGGAATCTTCCCAAGAGTTATCATTATAAGCTCTCTCAAAGTTTATTAAGGGCATAACAACACTCACCCTCTGCCAAATTCAATTTTCTTTCCTGTTTGAACATGAGTTGGGGTTTGGCGCAGTATTTTATAACGGTGGTGCCGTAAAGGCAGTTATCTTCGTGTTTTGTCGAATCGTCCCAGTCGAGATAACCTGGACAGTGCTTGCTCCAGTAGATGCAAGGGAATTTGTAAAAACTAGCCAGTAGCTCGTAGGTGACATGCCTTAATTTACTTTGAGGACCCAATTGCAGGATATTGGCGTTGTTACTACAACGACCGCAAATGCTTTTGAAAGACGGCAGGACCAGTACGGGACCGCAGGATAACCAGCATGAACACACTTCACATTTCAGGAACTCCAAAATCGGTTCTGGAACCTTAGGCATCATCAGGCTGTCAAACTGTTAAATAAATTTTAGCGAAAAGCTAACACAACTTGCAACTTTTCCGCTGTTTAAATTATTTTATTTATAAATAATTTTATAGCTGACCAACAAAATATTTGGACACTTACTCGACGTGAACTTAGTATTTTGAAGTCAACTAAATCCGTACGTTAACAAAATCTTTACCGAGAGTGCGAAACAATGAAAAATTTCTAAAGGATTCTAAACGATCGTTTTATTAACAATAAAACAATTCGGTCGTGAAATCGTTCGTTAATCTAGGCAATAAAATTGTCTTAATAAAGATAAGATTGTGGAAAAGTCCTAAACAACAAATTAATGACTTAATGTCAAGGGATAGGACAAGGCAAACGGTGGACTTCTTAAAATCAGCAATTTATTATTATTAGAACAAATAATATTATATTAAATAATTGTGTCATTCTTTTGACTAACTTTTATCAAATAAGGAATTGCTCATGTAGGAGAACAGAAACTTGGTACTTATTTTAATAAATATTATCAACAACTGTAAAATTAAAAAACTCACGACTTAAAACCAAAACCCCAAACTGCCAACATAATTAATTGTCACTTTAGGATTGGATAACCAATTGGAACAATTATTTCATTTTTTCCCAAATCAATACTGAAATTATCTTTTTTATAACGAATTTATTATCTGAATTGTTATTACCTCCGCGATAACATAATTATTACACATTGAATGTATATTGGATATCAATACTTTCTGACAATTTATTATACAAAGTTACAAATTTAGTTTGTAACATTTTCAAATGTTTATATGTGCTTAAAGATGAGTTTTTCAGTACCTTGAATGCCTTTCATGTAACGTTAACTTTACAGTAATCAAAAATACTACAAGTTAGCGCACTTACCCTTATTAGAAATTGAAAAAACAACTGTAATTCCTTTTGTAGAGTACTTAACAATTTAGATCCACATAATTTATATAATAAACACTACCTGCCACTTTTGAGGGCTCTACATTGGACGAATGTGTCAGCAAACAATGGTGAAGCACTCGCTTTGTTGTGAGTGCTAACCGCTCTTTAAATAAATGATAACAAATGATTCGAATCTAATCAAAATTAAATTAACTACTGCCGAGTGTCACACAATTACGACTTTTTATTTATAGAACAACAACAAAATGTTCAAAAGAATTCTGCTTTCTGTTGGTTAATAGATTAAAGTAAAAAAAACANACGTGGCCGAGTAGAAGGGGGACATCCGTTGCATGATTTTGTTACATAGCAACTCGCATGAAACGAACTTACCCTACAGTGCGTAAAGAAGTTTCACTTTAAAAATGTTGTAGCCTGTTGGTCTGGAGCCCCAATTCAAAAACAAAATAAATTTTGTAAAAATTTTTCAAATATATTTCTGCACTCGTTAAACCTTGCATATCTAGAATCGTTCACAACGATTGCACCACAAAAAAACATCAATTTACCCAAAATAAATTTTGTAAAAATTTTTGAAAGATCACCCAGGAGGATCGTCAGCGTTTCTCGTCTTACAGAATTACCGGTATCTCTGTTATGGTCTTCTTATCAATTCTTATCTGCTCATTAAGAAAGAATTACACGAATATAGAAGCTGATTATTTTCGTTGAGGAAAACATTTTTTTTATTTACTCAACTTTCTGTGGCGCCACTGTGAATAACTGATTGCTGATGTCATCATCAAAATATGCATATCGATATATATAATACTGAACATTTAATTTTTTCATTATTTTTAAACAACAAAATAACATTTTCAATAAGAATGCTCTTTAAACCTATCGTGAATAGAGCGTCTAGGTTGTCCAACATATAGATACATTTCTTAAGCAGTCGTATTATTGGCAGGCTTTACACATTTTTTTAGGAACTCCCCAATACTTTAGTTCCTTTTCATTAGAGTTATGCATTGAATTGTTGAATTTGTTTGTAAAACAGGACGCGGAACAGGCTTCGTAAGTAAGAAAATTGTCGAGTGTCCTATTTCCGTTTTACAGGTATTCAAAGCACCGTAGCAAAAGATCTGTTGAGCTCGGATAGAACGATAATGGCGGTAAGGGTCCTTCTCATAAATAGCACTTCAGGACGTTTGGAGAGCTGCGACTGGTGGGAAAGTCAAGGGATGGAAGTGGGAGGACCCAGGAGGGTCACCGATATGTGTCCAGAGCTGAGGAGACGTCTTCAACCGGAATATCCCTGGTAAGCAAAATTGTTTGAGGATCGTCAACTCTTGTTATCACGATCACCCTTTGGATGCTTAATCGAACTAAAGTATTGATTGATGTGATCAGTTAATTAAGAAATTCTAAAAACATTGTTAAAAGTACGGAGCACAGCTCTGCGGATGGTGGAGGCTACGGAAAAGAAAGCAGGTTAGAAATGAGGAGGCATTAGAAGGAACAGGAGAACGGGGATCGCTATGGAAGTCAAAAATAAAAATACAAATGAAAATTTAGGTATTACTAAAACCGTCTCCAAAAGAACGAAACAGTTCATTTTAGGCCTTACACTCCATTTTGATTCAATTTCCTTGTCTTGCCGAGGAAAATATTGCGTCTAGGTGTGCAACAGAAAGGAAAGAAGAATTTTCCCAAGGGAAGAATTGTGTCGACAGGAAGAAGTAACTTACCTACATAAAAACGTCTTTACCTCTTTGAAAAACTTTACATTAAAGGTAGAAAACAAAGACTTATTATTTTTTTCTTATTGTAGCATTCTGAGAGAGAATATCAATAACTGTGCAATATGTGAAGCAATTGAATATTTACGACTTTTTTTATAACTCAGCATAAAATTGATATAGGTGATACGTATATTAAACTTGAGTTTCAACAATTCATAGAAGGCGAAGAGAATTCGAATCAATAAACACTTGGAGGGGTTTATTATTTATTTACGACAGCAAGAAACTAATGTTCGGTATTTCTGAATAAACAACCATTACAAAGACGGTTGATAAAATAAATCAAAATTAAACAGGTCTTCTTCTGTTTGTCTTGTTTTGTAGAAGAAAGTAAGGTAAGTACCTACTTGTTTTTGTTAATTAACGAAAATAAAGGTTGTAAATCCATTAATCAAATTCCTGGGCTTTCGAAAGCGACAAAAAACCTTACAAACAGAAACAATGGAAATTTTCTTTAATGACATGAAAGCAAATCTGTTGTTATTGTGCTCGACATTGATCAAACTTTGTTACTAATCAAATTGAAATTACAAAAATATTTTCTACTTAGGTAGGTAAGTAATTCAAATAATCCTTAAAAAAAACAGTTAGAGAATACAAAATTCAATTAGGATTTGGACGACCCTTCTGCAGAAATTAATTTTGCTAATTACGCTCGTCGTGCCCTCTTAAGCTAATCGTAAAATTCACAGCAAATGGAAATTAAGAGAAAATTAAGAAAATATATGCAAGATCGCTTGAACGGTAACTACGATAGAGAGTGAGCTAAAGAAATGTTGATTTACAAAAATGAAGTACTATCAATGATTCTTAAGATATGTAATTCAATTTTAATCAGTTCTGTTGACAGAAGTAAGCATAATATAAAAGTGTTGATGTATTAAGGGATAAGAATTTGTGATACAAGAAAAGTATTGCTAAAAAGAAGCTCCTGTATGTATAAAACTCTAGCAAGAAAAATATGTCAAGACAGTTATGATATTACTACGTAATACGACTACAAACAAGTGAATATACAACATTGCTTTCTAACGGTTCAAATTTCCCTGTTAAGAAACTCGGTTGTGATAAAGTTTTTATTACATTTCGAACTTTTTGTGTCCTTCCTTCCTTCCATCCTGTTATTTCACGAATTTTAACGGCACAATTTTCTTTCATCAGTATGTAATTCCATCCATTCAGATGAAAATTTTATGAACCCTAATGCATGCTTTCAGCCCTAATGTGTTTAAAAGTGGGCACATTTTATCCTTACATAATACGTTTTAAATATGTTCGGTATTTAAGCAAACTAGGGTAGATCCGTTAACAGTTCGTTTAATTTTATCTAAATCGAAATCAATTTAAAAATCAGCAGTAACATTTCCGTAAGGTAGAAGGATTTGGAGAAATCTAACAAGATCTCCTTTTTAATAAAAAACCTTGACAGGTTTACAAAATCCTGAAATAATCTTTTTCAAAGATCATCCTTGAAAATTTAATTCGATCTCTCTATATTTCTCGGGTTCGTTGTTCAGATGTGATAGAAAAAAATCTTGTGGAATAGGTACGAAGATCCTGACTCAAGTCCTGCTCTAAGGTCCCCAAAATTTATGGAGAGTCCTGCAAATATGTCCTTCAAAGGATGGTGGACGTACCCTTATTATTCCTGCCCATCGAGAAAATGGTTGTTATCGTACAGTATTCCAATTCCACCCTTAGGCAGAGTCGAGTAAGTAGAAACAGTTCCGAACGTTAACTTTTCATCTAAGCAATTCTGCATTGGTGTTTACAAGAATTCGTGTTAAATGACTAGATTATATCTAAAGTGATGCAATAACGTTTGGCATTGACGACAAAATTTTTTTTGAAGAAGTTTCCGTTCTGATAGACGACATTTTTATCTTGTAAAATTTACAGCGTTTACTCTCTTTCAGGCTTAAGGGCTTTCTTAGCTTAGATATCGATTTATCCGTTTTGGAGATAAACCAATGTGAAAAACAGGAGGAGAATTCCGGATCGTTGGAGATATCATTCTTCTATGACAGCCACAAATGCGAAAACGCTACTACAAAGGTAAAAAAGAAAGAAATATGCCGTAAATCTTTTTGGAGAAAGTTGTTTCCTGATAAACGACTTTTTTAGTGCATCTACAACCAGCAACTCCCGTTTAAGGGATGGAACCGGGGGAGTTATACTTGTAAATGTAGAGAGGGATACTACTCACCCCATTACGATGGTATATTCAACGGAACTCTGGTTGAAAGTACAATTTCATTTAAAACATTAATTATACTAACTTCGTTTAATAAATTCGATTTTGTTGCAGTGGCTTGGCAAGAGAAAATATCAAACATTAGCAACACTTACGACGAAATGTTTGTGTGTAGAAAATGTGCTCCGGGGTGCTACCACTGCACCGATTTTTCGCCGTGCTTGGCCACCTACCACTGGTCTTTCAGGTGATCGCCTATCTATCTAGGATTTTAGAAAAGAATTAATTATCGGGCGTTTTCAGGATTGCTCTGTTGAGTTTCAGCATTTTCTGCGTCTTCTACACGATCGGACTCATCGTTTACATGTACAAACATAAGAAATTAAAAGTATTTAAAGTGGCAAGTCCGATATTCCTAGCAATTACTTTGATCGGATGCGCGATTATGTATTCGGAGGTTGGTACATAATAAATGCTGTTTTGTTTAAAAATGTGATGGGTTTATGTGAATTAAATCGCGCAAATTTTACTCTTAGCGTTGCACAAGTATAACTTCAATAATAGTAGCTTCAAATACATACGTGTTAACTCTATTTTAATATCCATTGTTTGCTGTAGTCGTAAATTTTATTACTTAACGCCAATTGTAGTAGAGAGTGTTCTAAAACGTATTGTACTCTGGTGTTTATAGATGGCCGCAATATTTCCCGTTCTCGATATGTATTCTTGTATTGCAACAAAATGGACGAGGCATTTGGGCTTTTGTATAACGTACACGGCATTGCTCATGAAGACTTGGAGGTGAAGTTCTTTTTCTACCGAATATTTTCGGTACAATATTCAATCGTTTGTGATGAAAAAATGTCACTTTTTCTAGAGTTTCCTTAACTTATCGCGTGAAATCAGCTCACAAAGTGAAACTAACTGATAAGCAGCTTCTCCAGTGGATGATGCCGATATTACTGATAATGCTCATCTATCTAAGCACGTGGACCTTATCGGGCACCCCAACAGCTGAAGATATCACCGATAGCGACGGTTTGCGTTTCAAACAGTGCACCTACAATTGGTGGGATCACAGTCTTGCAATTGGTACGGTTCCTGTAGAATAATCTAATTTTTCGTTGTAACTTGTTTTGGGCCCTTTCAGGGGAAGTTTTTTTCTTGGCTTGGGGTGTCAGAGTTTGTTACAACGTTCGGAACGCAGAATCCCTTTATAACGAAGCTAGACTAATTAGTTACGCAATATATAATATTGCAGCGGTCAATATTATAATGATAGCATTCCAGTAAGTGAAGAAATATTGAAATAAGACAATGATAACGGGTGTACTTCTTATGCTTTTAGTTTATTTATTTTTCCGAGAGCCGGTCCTGATATAAAATATTTGTTAGGATTTATTAGAACCCAGTTATCGACTTCAGTAACCATTGCACTCGTTTTTGGTCCAAAGGTAAATGTCTGGAATTTGCAATTGAGAAAATGAAAATTTCGATAAGATCTCAATATTTTTATGTGTATATTGTGTATTGTTAAGGTAATGAGGGTTTTAAGAGGTCAAGGTGATCAGTGGGACAATAGGGCCAGATCGCGTGGAGTCAGTGCCTCCTTCTCCCTGAACGGTATTGGACTGGTTCCAGAAGATGCACCGGATCTCTATCAAGAAAACGAAGAGCTGAAGGTAATACATATAATAAATTTATAACGGTAACTTTAAGTCGAAAATTTGAAAATCACCCAAAGTGCCCGTTACAGGAAGAAATTCAAAAGCTAGCAGCGCAAATAGAATTCATGAAAATCGTCCATATGGAGGTAAATAATAGACATATAAAACCGAAATTGGGGGGTTATTTCAGTAGCGCCAATCCCGCAGCTGCCATCCAGAGTCCTCTGTCTAGACCCGGTTGTCTATTGGGGAAACCGCCCGACGAACTGTGACCTCAACAAATTAGTAGTGCTCCAGAAGACTTAAAAAGCAACGTATTAGTTGGTCGAAAAGGTAGTATTATTAACAAAATGAAGCCTGTTGTTGTAGTCTGACGACAACATTTATTAATAATGGTTGTGATTTAAAGTGATAAGAAAATACGTACTTTACTATTCTGGTATGAAATTAAGCGAAACAAGAATAAAAATAAAGTGGATCTCAATATTGCAGTAATTACGATGATATACAGGTTGAAATTTTATCATTATCGATGCAAAAACTACTACAAGGGTGTATAATTTGACAAAAAAAAATTAAACAGATCAAATGACTAGCCCTCCCTACATCCCTCCCTTTCCTTTCCTTATTTTGAACGATCTAGGATTAGCTCTTCATCAACACTGCAGCTTAGATCAGACAACTGTAACATGATTGTGGGTGATGTAAGGGGAACAAACCTTACAGTTCGGGAATTTATAACTACAGGGTGTCTCCAATGTAATTAGTGAACAGCATACTCGATACTCAGTGCTGGATTTAAATTTGACAAGAGGCTTCCCCTTCAAGTTCTTTTAAGAAAAAAATGTTTAGAATAAATTGCCATTTTTCTAAAAATAAGCTGGTATTTTTTAAAAGGGCTGTTGGACAATAATAATTATGCAAACATAAACACAATTTTTTTAATTATATAATGTTTCACTTTCACTACTATTTCAGGTTTTTTGAATTAAAAAATGAGTCTTATGAAACGAGACCACCCTTATCTATCACGCCCGAGGCTGTAGCCCCCCTAACCCCCCCCTACAGACGGCACTGTCGATACTATTACACCCTGTATACTTCACTGTGTTAAAAAGAAAAGACAAACTTCGTCATTTACGTTTGCAAAATTCAAACTGATCTCTTTCTCTTTGTGACGACAATGAGACCGATAAAGACTTTATTTTTTTATTTACAAGTTCGTACCTGCCCTTATCAAAATAACATCTCGAAATATGGAAACAGGTAATTAAATATCGCTTTTAGGTACACAAAAAGGATAATTAGTTACTATTTATATACTTATTGTACATTGTTGTTAGATATTATACCTAATAAATGTTGATGTACGATAGCGTTAAATTGTTGTTATTGTTTAATCAAATATCGGATAGTTTTCTATCAAAATATTATATACACCTCTTTTATATTATTATTTTAACTGTAGGTAAATAAGGTCCATAATTTAAACAACTATTTTGTCTAATTATTCCAATTGTATAGTTTGTATATTGTAGACCGCCTTGTTTATTTTCTAATAGTTTTGGTGCTATAAAATTCTTCTTAGAAAGATGTCAACATAATTAAAATAGATCGATATTAATGTATTATACAAAAATAGATAAATTATAAAAGCCTTATGTGATATTCTCCTATAAATATCCAAACCAAAATAGTCAATGTATGACAATACACGTTTGTTTTGGTTACCACTAAAAAGCTGTAAGAACTGTTGCATTTTTTTAGCATATATACGAAATATATTGTATATTAGTTTAATTGTTGTTTATGTATTTAATGAAAACTGAATAAATGTGTGTATTTTCCATTTTGTTTTAATATTTTCACAATAACAAACATGGCGCGAACATGGCGGATGAACGCCATGTATTCAAACGTTAGGTTGCCATCTTTTATATTCAAATGTCAAACAGCCATTGTAAATGCTTATTATGTAAAACAAACTGCTGGTGTTGCTTTAAAATATCATTTATATAAAATTATTATAACTACTACTCGAATATAAAAAGTGGTAAAGTCTATAACGAATATGGACGGTATCAATATAAATTAAATACATACATAGTAAAAAATACTTAACAGCTTGATTACTTAAAATAAAAGAGATTCAAATAGTAAGCAGCCATTTTGACAATAATACATTTGAAAATCTAGTCGTTGTAAATAGATACGCTTAACAGCAATTGAAGTAGCATCGAATCAACAAATTTTTGTACTAATGGTGTTAATTATCATTCAAATAACGTACATTATTCAAAAAATTCTGTACGACCATAAAATTGTTCCTAAACTAACAAAAAACATCACAACGGAAGTCTTTGTAACATTTGACGAGTTACATTCATCTTCAGAACAGTAACATTCTTCCCAATAGACACCATTTTCATAGACACCCCAATTGCACACCCCCGTGACACCCGTATCAGCTACAGACGCACATCTACGAATTACCTGACGCCATCTACCGTCCCCTAAAAATATTTTCTTAAGTGATTTGCACAGTTCATTTAGAATAAATACAACTGCACGTGATCTCTGGCGTTATTACAGGATAAAAAGGAACACAGGGTGATTCCCCGAGATTCCCCTAAGTATGTGCCTGTTTTAGGCATAATCTGTGTATTTCGAGAGGATCTGCTAACACTGCTTGGTTAACGTAACTTAAGTTAACGAAGTTATGATCACGTGCAACTGTTTTTGTTTTGTATCAAGTATGCCTAGCCCTAAATGAATTGATGTTATTTAGGGCTCTATTGGTATGTATATTAGGTAACATTTGTAATTAGCAGAAGTAATTAAGTATTGGTTACTTACAAATGAAACCCTTCGGACTTTGTTGCGTTACTTTCATGCAGAATGAACCTGGTGCATGGCTTTCTTCAGTATTACATTCTACAGCTATGTGTTGTGTCTTGTCGAATTTTCTATAAGCTCCACAATTATCCTGGCCTTTTGGGTCCTGGGCAGAACCGCACTGGTAACAACGTACCGCGTTACCTTTTTGTTGTTGAAAAGAAAAAAACAGGTTGTACGAAACTTTTTGATTACCACTCGTATAATCAACCGAGCATAATACTAATTTATATAGACACACCCAAACCAACGATGTTATTAATCATTTAATTAAATGTAAAACAAGACGATATCAAATGAAAATTGAAATACAAAAATTAATAGTTAAATACTTTGTTTTAGATATGTAAATTGTACTTACCTTTTTGAATAGCGGTCAAAAAGATAACAAAAAAAAGGGTTAATGCTGATATTGTGGTCCTAAGGCACATTTTACAAGAAATTTGTTATTATTCACATTAAAACAAACACAAAAAAGTCATAAACGTACATTCAATAACACGATAACTAGAATAACAACAACAATATTTATATTTACTCTGCTGCCATTTTGGTGACTTATTATGTTAATGGCTTAAGCATTTAACATTTGTGACTGCGTTGGCAGAACTGCTTCCCAAACAGCTTTTATTAAGGTTTCTGCTGACCCTAGAATATACTACCAATATACAAAGTGTTTGATTAGGTGTTTAACAAACTAATTCAAAATTGTTTATTTTTCTTTTGTATGAAGGATTATTAAACAATTATGTGCATGTATTTTACCAAAATAATAATTTTTAGTCAAAATGGCTGCCGAAAACATTTGCTCAGCCACCATTAGTGTCAAAATACTGTTTTATTTGTTTGATTATTATAAATTAATCGTTTAAGTTACCGAATGTTTGGCGGCCATTTTCGTAACTTGCAGTTTGAAGGAGTAGAGCAATGGGCTGAAAAGCTTTTTAATAAATATTTTATNTTGGTTAAAATAACAGTCGTGATAATATACAACAAAACATTATAGATCATGAAATAACACAAAATATATCTCTTCTATAAATATATACAGTGCGAAAAATTATAAGAATTTAGTTGAACATCATTTTTGTAAATATGTATAACAGGGGCACGGAGAAGAGGATCGCTGTGGATGTTTTCCCTGAAGAAGTGTTACACACATCGGTGTCGCATGTTTTACAGTTGACAATTTCTAAGTCGTTACTGGCGCTTTTGCAATCATTTGGACTTGAAACAGGCAAACATTTTCTAAATACTGTAGTCACGCCTGTTCTCTTCTCTGAAACAAATTAATCCTTTGAATCATCCTTCAAAAGGTTTATAAACATATGCATTTCAATGTTATGAAAATCAATAGAAACAAGAGTAAAAAGGGGCTGATGTAGGTCTAGATCAGATTACTGTCCTTCTGAGACATGAACAGTGAGTAAATGAACCATTAGAACCAGAAACAAGAGTAAAGAGGGACTGATGGAGGCCAAAATTAGATGACTGTCCTTCTGAGACATGAAGAGTGAGTTAAAGAAACATTAGAAGCAAAAACAAGAGTAAACAGGGACTGATGGAGGTAAAGATTAGATGACTGTCCTTCTGAGTCCTGAAGAGCGAATTAGAGAAACATTAGAAGTAGCAACATGAGTAAAGATGGACTAAGTCTTGCTGGGATTACTGTCCTTCTGAGACATGAAGAGTGAGTTAAAGAAACATTAGAAGCAAAACCAAGAGTAAAGAGGGGCTGATGGAGGTAAAGATTAGATGATTGTCCTTCTGATATATAAGAAGTGAGTTAGAGAACCATTAGAAGCAGAAAGAATATTAAAAAGGGACTGATAGACGCAAAGACTGGAAGACTGTCCTTCTAATATATGAAGAGTGAGTTAGAGAACAACTAGAAGCAGAAATAAGAGCAAAAAGGCACTGATGGTGGCCAACTTTGGATGATTGTCCTGAAAAATGAAGAGTGAGTTACAGAAACATTAGAAGCAGAAACAAGAATAAATAGGGGGTGATGGAGGTCAAGATTAGATGACTGTTCTTTTGATATATGAGGAGTTAGTTAGAAAACCATTAGAAGCAGAAAGAATAGTAAAAAGAGACTGATGGAGGCAAAGATTGGAAGACTGTCCTTCTGATATATGAAGAGTGGGTTAGAGAACAACTAGAAGCAGAAATAAGAGCAAAAAGGCACTGATGGTGACCAGCATTGGATTATTGTCCTTCTGAAGCATGAAGAGTGAGTTAAAGAAAGATTAGAAGCAGAAACAAGAGTAAAGAGGGGCTGATCTAGGTCTACAGTATGTTACTGTCCTTTTGAGACAAAAAGAGTAAGTTACAGACAGAGATAGGAGTAAAAAGGTGTAGGCTTAGATTAGTTTAATGTTGGCAAATAGGTAAGGATATGGGGATATTTTAGTTTATTGATTCAGGATAAGAAGCAGCAGTGATGCAACCGATCCTTTGATGAATATGATCTGTTCTAGATTTTTAAACATTCTAGTAAATTAGGTTTAGCATGGATAAATTAGTTAAATATTCATTAAACATANATCTGCAGTCCCAACATTTGATAGCATCCACTGAAATAATTTAAGCATCAATTTAATTGAAACAATTGAACGTTTTGGGTGTAACTCAACCTAAATTTTATCAATGACTAATGAATTAAAATGAGAAGCGATACATACCGGAATTAATTAACGATATACAAAGCACTACGGTTGCGAAAATGATGCACTTGATATCCATCACGTTATTATAAATATTTTACCATTTAATCTAAAAGTAAACACTAAACAAACATTGACAGAAACAACTTTTATGACATCGGCGGACATTCATTAGTGTCAACAGCAGTAATTAAACATTCCAGTCACATGACTGGACACACCTGTTTAGGAATCAACGAGCAAACGAAGCAAACTAATACGAACAAAAGCAGGTAAGTTAAGTTTTCTTCGTTGGTAGACAATACCAACAACGGTAAAATCAGGTAAAGGTGGGTTGCCTGTGTTGTAGTCGACGCCGAGTAGAAATTTTAAATCGATATCTGCTTCTACAGTAACGTTTGCTTGGTAAATTTGCTTCTATTTAATAAGAACAGTGCGTAATAATTGAATTTTTTAATAAAACTAGTAAACTGTTAAATTGTGTAGCCGCCATGTTTTATTCATCTAAAAAACGGCAGCCATCTTGTCGATGTGTTTGTTTTTTTATACTACGCATACTTCAAAATTGATTTTTGGCATTAAAATTACAGTATCTAATTTTAAAACATCGTATAACTTTTCATTCTATGTATCCAATAAATTGTACAACTCTGTAGCAGCCACATTGTGTAGTCAATTATCGGCAGCCATCTTGTCGATGTCTTCATATTTTAAGACTACGCACACTTCAATATTGTTCTTCTGCATTGAAATTATCTAATTTTAAAACAGCATTTAATTGTTCATTCAATTATACTAATAAATTGTATAAACCTGTGGCATCCACATTCTCTTTAGTCAATTACCGAATTTATATAGACACACCCAAACCAACGATGTTATTAATCATTTAATTAAATGTAAAACAAGACGATATCAAATGAAAATTGAAATACAAAAATTAATAGTTAAATACTTTGTTTTAGATNTTTAAATTAAAAAAATAATAAAAGCGTTTGCAGTTTTGGTATTTTAACGTTTCTATTCTAAATTAATTTTTATTAATAGGTATTCTGCTGATATAAAATGCAACTTTGCAATTACCACAAAACTGATTAATACACAGAATTACTTTATGTATTCTTTTGTCTGTAAAATACATGATTGGAATGAGCCATACAATTTCTAATAAATATCTTTTTATGTTCTTTTGTTATGTTAAGTATATTTGTTAATATGCATAAAAACATGGTAAGCGAATGCAATACGGTTAAAATTAGAAAGTTTTCACAGTGCTAACCCAATTTTTCTTTATTAGTACCAATCGCGACTAAAATGAATTAAAACGAAAGCAAAATTATTTCAAACACGTAGTATCTGATAAATGCATTTTTGCAAGAGAAAAAAAATATGTTGCGCCCCTAAATCACCAAGAACATTTGCGTATATGTAATTTGATTAAAATCATTATAAAATATGCTAAAAATAAAGAAGCGTCATGATTTTGAACGCTGTTTTTAAATCCTTCCAAATCGTTAGCAAAGTAAATCGATATGAGATTAAGGTCAATTATATAGGATAGAAAAATATTATCAACAGAAAAGATGAAACCGGTATTATAAATATGTTTTTTAACATTTTTATGATCACTTAATCGTAAGAATTAGTTGTTAGACTTCGCGTTGGCGATTTCTATTAATAAGAATGACACAAACAAAACATTCACCTGAAATATAAAAGTTTTCTAAAAACTTTAAATATATTATGAACAGATAATAAAGCATCGAAATTAGACGATATAAAGTGATAATTACTTACAGCATTCAAGTGCAGCCAAAAAAGCAAAAACAACAGCGATCGATTTAATCATTTCGAATTAATTGATTGACCCACAAACAACACTTGAACGGTGTACAAGGAATAAAAATACTGTTGTGTATCTCACTTTGAGTTCAGCAGTGTTCAGTCTTGAGACAGAAATGAAAATTGTTTGGCTCTCGTCCGTTTATTGTTAGACTGGCGTCAGAAATCCGCCTGGCTCCGGTCGATTTTGTGGAGTGGATGGAAAACTAAGCGTCATAAGGATAATAGTACATTTTTTCGATCCAAAGGATTCGAAACAAGGATAACACAATTTTATTTTTATATTTTTATGTATGTATTTTATTCTGGCGCTAGGTTTTTCAGGATCATTGAAAAATTTGCAAATTCTGTTTTAGTCTTTTAATAAATACTTACTATGGAAATGCAAGTAATAAAATACGTAGCGCTTTGTTTAAACGAAAGATCCTTTAATATATTGTTTTAATAAGATCAGTATTTCTTACAGAAAATACAAAAAAAATAAAGAAAACAGCAGTTGTTTTATAGCTATTGATTTCGGATATATTACTGCCCTGTATGTTATCACGCAAGTGGCAGTTTCTCTTTGATTTGTGTGACATGAGAGAAACATTACCGATTATTTGCTATCCAATTATCTAATGCTTTCTGTTTAATTATTATATTAATTATACCTATACTGANAAAGAAATAAATAATTTCAGGGAACACAAGCGCGAGAAAAAGTCACATAAGTCAAGCCCTACACGAAAACATTTTTTCGTTTCAAAACCTGTTAACTGTATTAACTCAGAAGAAAGTGTAAAGGAATACAAATTAAAGAAAAAGAAATACTGCACAAAAATTGGTCCACCCAGATGTTATAAACTTTCTGTAAAAAAATAATACTGCCAAAAAGAAAACAAATTAAGTCCTAGTTTGAAGTATTCATTTAATTCTCTGTATTTTAATGTTAATTTAATTAAGGAGCAGTTTCCTGGAATTTTCGTCAAATTGTAATAAAATGGCTTGCAATGTCTCATTAAACTTTTTATTTTCTTGACTTAACGCAAAAGTTAAATAGTTTTACTACATCAGGCAAATTAATGTCATACATAAAACAGTCATTCATATATTTCCATAAGGTCATCAATCATTACTGATAAAGAAGTGTCACAAGATCATTTTTTTATTAACTTGATGAATACTTTTTTTTATAATCTAAACAAATTAAAAGAAACGTCTCAGAAAATTTGAGTTCTTTACTTTTGGTGGAGGTGCCGAGATAAATTTTGTTTTTATTGCAGTCAAGCATATCAAAGAAAAATAAAACAAACAGTTTGTTCAAAAATTTATTAGTCTACTTTTTCACAACATACGTATTACATTTTCCGAAATTTATAACAACAATTATTACTTCTTTCTACATTTGTGTTGTATGCATTCAAAATTAGGTACTATTACATTCAGCAAGTTACGTAATTTATTGTTTATTAAAAGTAGATAAACCATTTGTATAAAAATATATGTGTAGGTATATATAACATCAATTTAACCGAACGAAAGGTTTATGGTGTATGGTTTCGTTGCATGACCTAAGAACGCACGTAATATCTGGAATGTAATGAATGTAATGGTTATTTACTTTAATTAAAATCAGACTTATTTGTAACCACACGTTGGACTTGTGAAATTTACGTAGATTTAAGAATTTAATCTGCTAATCATATTGAAGTTTTTTTCTATATGTTTAGGAACCCAAAATTTATTATGGCCATGCTTCAATATAACATAAATTTGACTAACACAGGTAATCTATTTAAAGTGTTTGATGGGTACACTGTAAAAAAAGCCAGTCATCATCACCATAAGATCGTCAATTCTAAGACTGTTTGGACACGCATCACCACTCTGTCCTGTCCTGCTTTAATCTTCGCATTTTTCTAAAACTAAAACACCAACATCCCTAAATATTTGTGAACAGTAATCTAATCTAGATCTACCTCTACTCATCTTAACTCCTGTTTTTGCCTCTAATATCTCTCTAACTAGACCTTCACCTGATCAACCTATCTCCTCTATTTCTTATTGACTTTCGCAGTCGAGTCCTCTGTTCTCCTATTATTTCTAACATCTTTTCATTTCTAACCTTCTCTGCCCACGGTACCCCTATCATTCACCTGCAATACCATATTTCCAAACACTTTTAACCTTTTCTTTTCTGCCGTGACGACTGTCCATGTTTCCCACCCGTACAGCGCCGCGCTACAGACAGACACCTTTAACAAAATTTTAGGAATTTCCGAATTAACCGTTCGCGAGAATATAAATGACTTTTTTTGTTGCAGGTGACTCAACTCTACGCTATCCTCTGTTTTATATCTCTACTGCTCCTTCCATTCAGCGTTATCTGACTTCCTAGATACCAAAAATCAGCCGCTTCTTCTAATTTTTCGTCTCCTATCTTTATATTCACCCTTTCCTTACTTTCTTTCCTTGTATGTCAGCACTTTTGTTTTACTNTAACAACAAAAAAAAAACAAACTGTAAAAATAACAAAAATAAAAACTAAAAATTCTCGAGGTACTTTTTATTTAAAATTACGATGTCAGATCAATATTTTTAATAATTATGAGAGTAGGCTATATAAATTTTAAATTATGATAAAAATCGGAAAATTAAAAGTGATTAGTGACAAAATAAACTAAGATTGCACTCATAATTCCCAAGAATGTGAAGCGATTCGTGTTTGCAGAATTACACAAATCGTCCTTACATTCCTGACAATAAACTAACTCTGTTCCAGGATTTACAGAACATTCATTGGTAAAATCTTTATTTTCAACTGCTGAACATTTACGAACGGTGGTTTCTTTACCATCGCGGTCTAAAACACAAAAAAAATCATTTAAGAAATACCATCTGAGAGAATTACTACTTGTTGTAGTATTTAATAATGTTTGACAAATTCCTTTCAACTTGTCGAACTTTAATTTAAAAGGTTAAACTGAAAATTAACATATTAATATATTCACACAAATTTTATTCCCATCCAAGAAAGAGAAAGTCATACTTTTAAAATGATATTGTAAAGTTTTTATAATTTTCTTTAAATTTTTTTCGTTTACCTTCTCTCTGTTACACTAAAAGTGTAGACAAGAATTTTATTAGCTAATATACTTCAATTGGAGAGTTAATTTAAGCGTGTTGCCCCCTACGCTTGCTCAATAATGATAAAAATTGTTTTAATAAGTATCTTGGCTTGTTGAAATGTAGAAAATCAAATAATAAGGCACAAAAATATCGTCAACAAATAATAATTCAGAATATAAAAATGTGTGGTAGACACATTCTTAATAAAATATTTTGGTATTGCTTACCTTTTGTCACTTTTTTGAGGCAGAAGGAGTCGTATATGTTGAGAACCAAATGGGCACATTCGACACTATACTTCTGAGGGGGCTGATTAGCACAATCGGGATCTTTGACTGAGTTACAACTAATACATCTTAAGCCGTATGCTGGAAACAAAAAAAAAAAGAAATACAATGATAATTTTTTTAACAACTGCGAACCGCTTCCCGTTATGGAATTCATTAAGAAGAAGGGAAACAAAGGAAGCTAGGACACTTTTTTAGGCATAAGGAGTAAGTGAGAGGCATATAAGAAACAGAGAAGCAGGAGTAAAGATGTACAGAAGAACATCCAGATTAAATTAAAAAATGAGGAGATATTAGAGAGTAGGAGAAGAATGGAATGAAATTCAATGAGAATAGGATAGTAAGGTACCTTCTGAGACAAGAAGGACTAGTTAGACACCTACAACAAAGACAGAGGAAGACATTTATTATATCAGATATAAGGGGAAATTAGAAAGGGTGTAGAAGAGCCAAGGGAGATATAAAAACAATAAAATGAAGGAAAGATACGAAGGTAGCTCTAAAGTTTTCGATAAATACGAAGATTGACTCAGGATAGGAAGGAGTGGAGATGCTCCAGTCTTCGGACTGATAACAATGATAATTTTTAGTTTAGTTTACTACTGAGTAACATTGCCTTTAACTTTTTATAACATCCGAAGCTTTACAGGCTAAGGACATAGTAGTATTTCAACCAAATCAATTCAGAATTCTAGCGTAAATCAATAATTCCATTTTTGTTGAGTTTTTTGCTTCAGTCCAGACATTTTCCGTCAGAATATTAAAACTAATGCATTATTTGTTAAGCTCATCATGAAAATATAATAAATACTAAGTGCGATCCTTAAATAAAATCTTATACAACAGAATATTAAAATTCAATAAAAGCGTTTTTTTAAAAAATATCGTGTAACAGATTTTCAAGGAAAACTACTTTTATTTTACAATTCTTTTAATGACATTTTTAATTTCTGTTAGATACTGAATACACAAATTTAAAAATCTTTTCGTTAATATATATCTACAAAAAATAACTACGAAAGTTGTCGATGATAAAAGGTGAAGAAAATTCTGCAAAAAGATTTAATTAGATTCTAATCGAAAACAAAATGAAACATATTGTTTATTGACCATGTTCGCGTAAGGCTATTTACAAATTAACTAAACAAACTTTGACCTTTTCAGTACAAAATAGACAATTAAAAAAGAGAAAAGAGGAAAATCTTTTAGTTTATATTCAGCTTTAGTTAACGCCTTAGCATTTAATTAAACTAAAACTTATTTTTTATTGAAATTTCATTAATAAAATGTACGTATTTTGATTATTTCTACCTACAGTTTATATGCATTTCCATTGTCCTTGGTTTATAGTTGTTTATTGCAGATTTTAAAGGCAATAACAATTGGCGATTTTCCCAATCCAATGATTGCGTAACGCTTTTACGTTAGTAAATTTGCCAAACTACAGACACGAATTTCCTCACAACTTTTTACAAAAAAAAAAAGACAACCAAGTAAAGCTTTTCATCATTTCTTATAATAAAATTTAGACATTTTATTTCTTCTTTTCTCGTATTTTTTAGAAGAAAACAAAAAATTTATAACAAAAACGCTATAATTCAATAACAATAAAAGTAGGGCGTTGTAAATAACATTATTCCCTCTGTACTTACCCGAGTCCAAAAAGGCTAAACACGTAAACAACAGCACTAGCTTGAACATTTCGAAATTATGTTGTATTATATTATATAATGAATATTTCGCGTGTCTAGAACAGAACAAAAAAGGTGCGCTTTTGGTTTATTTTTATTTGTGATGATCGACTGGGCCAGTGAAAACAACTGGTTACAACAACTGCGAATTTAATATCGCAGTAGGCCAAGAGAGAAACGAATACTAGGTCACATGGTAGCAAGAAAATGAGCGTAGAATCTTAACTTCATGGACAAATTTTCCTTCTGTTATTAGTTAGAACAATTTAATACAAATAGGTAATATAAAAATAGAAACGTAGCTCAATTTATACTTACTATACTGTTCTAAATAAAGCTATAATTTGCAATAAGTGGCAAACGAATGATATAATGATGAATGATAAATCAAATTATAATAAATGAAATGAATAAAAATTGGTATCTAATAATAAGTGATTATTATTGTTATAGCCCAAATTAAAACTCCAAGTATATTTTGATTATTTTAAATTTTATATATTGTTTCATAAACTAATTAATTAACATTTGAACACCCTGTATGTGAGTTTTAAATTTAAATTTTTATATAAAGGAACAGCATGCGCCATCTGCCACACAGAACCTGAACAAACACAGTACATTCCATAGATTATCATATAGATTGTTATCAATTCATGTTTTTCGTCATTATCAAGATCATTTATTCTATGATTTGCTCGATTGTTCTGTTAACAGTAGTGTCGTGTATTTACATTGTATTTATTACGAGTGGTGAAAAGCGTTAATTTTAAAAGGAAAAGTGAATAAATAACATTTAAACGATGTCTCTGTTTGGCTCTCTAATGGGTGATTTAGAAAACGATCCGTTTTTTGGGTGAGTTTCGTTATTAATTTGACATTTATATTGTACAAATTGAAGTAGATACATAAGAGTGCTTTGACAAATCCCGCCATGCTTTGTTTAGGATAAATTTTTATCTCGTAAATTCATTCCCTTTTTTCAGGTCTCACATGAGAACAATGCGCCACGTGAATAGCATGATGAACTCAATTCTTAGTGATCCATTTGGCGATTTTATGGGGATGCGAGACTTTGGGATACCTGCATTGACAGGTTCACGTGCAGGGAGTCTCATGCCATTTGGAGGCTTTCCACCCATGCCTAACATCAACAGATTGCTGTCATCGTCCTTTGAAAACCCAAATGCTCACTGCTACAGCACCAGCACAGTTGTAAGCATGACTTCAGGGCCTGATGGAAGACCCCATGTTTACAAGGCCACATCCAGCACCCGTACAGCCCCAGGTGGTCTTAAAGAGACTCAAAAAACCGTTTGCGACTCCAGAACTGGTACGAAAAAGATGGCAATAGGACACCATATTGGTGAGAGGGCTCATATAATAGAGAGAGAACAAAATGTGGAAACAGGTGACCAAGAACAAAGAGAGGATTTTATTAATCTTGATGAAGAAGAAGCTGAAGATTTTAATCAAGAATGGGAGCAAAAGACCCGTCATCGACCTGAAATCAGTAGAATTACTTCAGCAAGACATCGCTATGGCAGAGACCGTGAGCACAGTGGATTGCCAGCTATTACAGCAGGACCGGCCAGGTATTTACTATTTACTACTTTCTTTTCATAAAAATGCATACATTCTCTTTTAAAACAGTGTCTACAGAAATTGCATTGTTAATACTGTATGCATGCATTACTATGTACCCTTTCTTGTTCCTTTTGATGTTGTATCTGTATGGATGTCTTTTTTTCTAAATTTTATGCAGTGCTTGTAAACTTGCTTGTACCAATACCAGTCCACAAGACAGAAGACAAGATAAATTAAGTTTGCCAGGTCATTCAAGTTCCTCTTTGTTGCCAAGACGTTCTATTAGGTCTCGTAAGCAAGACAGAATTAGTCCAAGGTATGAATGACAAGTATCATTACCACATATTTGCGTGCCATTATTACATTGGTCAAATAAAATAAGCAATAAATTGTTATTACACACCATTCATATTAACAATTCGTTGAAGTAATTATTATCTGTTAAAGTGGGAATCAGTAATAGTTTGTGTATATTATTTGTATTAAAAGAAATAAATAATTTCAGGGAACACAAGCGCGAGAAAAAGTCACATAAGTCAAGCCCTACACGAAAACATTTTTTCGTTTCAAAACCTGTTAACTGTATTAACTCAGAAGAAAGTGTAAAGGAATACAAATTAAAGAAAAAGAAATACTGCACAAAAATTGGTCCACCCAGATGTTATAAACTTTCTGTAAAAAAATAATACTGCCAAAAAGAAAACAAATTAAGTCCTAGTTTGAAGTATTCATTTAATTCTCTGTATTTTAATGTTAATTTAATTAAGGAGCAGTTTCCTGGAATTTTCGTCAAATTGTAATAAAATGGCTTGCAATGTCTCATTAAACTTTTTATTTTCTTGACTTAACGCAAAAGTTAAATAGTTTTACTACATCAGGCAAATTAATGTCATACATAAAACAGTCATTCATATATTTCCATAAGGTCATCAATCATTACTGATAAAGAAGTGTCACCTTTTAAATGATTACAGGTTTTCCTTAAAGTATTGTAGAATTTGAAGTGAGTACATTGGCGTTTTTTTGTGATAACAAGTGTTTTTATTTTGAGCTACATTTTTCAAAATTGTTATTAACAAAAATTGTAGAAAAGACATTAAGAAGGAATTGTAAAGAAATATTTTATTTTAAAAAGAACAAAATACTGTAATGTCAGGATCAATTAAATTGTACAGACGAAGCATTTAATTGTAACTTTCATATTAATAAAGAATAGAACAAGCACAAAGCTTAAGATAGAAAACAGTTTATTAATAATCATTTATTATTTTGCCACACTAAACATAAATCATTAACAAAATTGTTTGTATGTATTCTAAAATTAACGGTGGAGATACTGCAAAAAAAGGGAAAGTAATTGTTTAAAGAGGAGATTTAATTATGGTGATCTAATCATTAATATCATATTAAAAACAGTAAAGATACCACAAACAAAAATTCAAAATCAGATATTTACAAATTTAATCGTAGCATATGTACAAAGCCTACATAGGCCAAAGAAGTAGGTGCTTTAAAGATACTAAAAGAACACAAAAAGTTTAGGTTTTATATTTATTCAACCTAAAGAAACTGCCCTATAGCGAAACATTCTTCATAGCAATTATTAGTAAACTGTTTTACATCATAAATGTTGTGTTTGTTTTTGTCGTTATTATTTATGTTAACTAACTTGCATCTTGTTTGTTATTAACGTTATTGATCGCAAAAATACTTTTTAACATGCGTAGATTACATATTAATTAATTTTTTGTTTTCGCAGCTCCTCGCACCCTTATAGTCCGTCTGGTCATTATCATTCGAGGAAGAATAAAAACATTAAGAGCGTTTCGGGGTCTCCAACTCACGACATCATTGAATAAATCAGATATTAGTGAATTTACCTTTTGGAGCCCTAAGCAGTTTATTTTCCTCGTGTTTCAGTTCAAAATAGTTTTGTTTTATAATTTTAACTACATGGGCACACTCTGCCCTGTATTCTAGTAAATTTAAGTTAATACTAGTTGGTTTTTTGCAGAAGGGAAGTCTGAGACTCCCTTTTAGCATACAGCACAATTTCGTCTGTTTTACAGTTGCCACTTTTCCTAAGTGTGTTTTATTGTATAATTAATTTTTATTTTTTTTTTCTTCAATTTGTTTCTATGTGGCAGTTGTAAAAATTCCCTGTGACTTTGAAGTCGGAATAGCGTAAGGTATTTATTTGAATGTAAGAGAGTAATGAAGGTTCATTAAGTGTAAGGATATTTTAACAGCTGTAATGTTACGTAAAATTTGCTTAAATGGAAGTATAAAAGAAATCAAATCCCTCTGTAATCAAAAGTGTAAAAGTAAAACAAATAAATAATAAAGTACCTACCCAAGCGCTTTAATCGTTTGACCTTTAATCAACGTTGTTTGTCGTTTTTGATTTCTTTTTACTTTACATTAGTATTTTAGTTGTTAACTTGTATGATGGGAACATATTACTTTATGAGGAACCCCTTAAGATTGTAAGGTAGACGTTTGACGAGATCAAAATTAAACTCATATTAGTATAAAGCACAAAGTATTTTATTAAAAATTATATTTAATCCAGTCAAACACACATCAAATATAAAAATATAACGAGCTTACATTTTAAACATCTTAAATCATACAAAAAATTAATAATTTGGCACTAAAGATGCTCACAAGTGAAAAATGAATGTGTAATATATAATAATTTGTACGTATATTTTTAATGTAATGTATAGATATTTGAAAATAGGTGTGTGCTCAAAATTCTTAAAATTACTGGTGTTAGACTTAAGGTTGTTGTCACTAATATAGCGGGCATGAAGGAACAAACTATATTTCACACAGTTGTCTTTTGTGCGTATTCCAGTAAGTTATGGTTTATATTTGCCTTAAAATAAAGTAGATCTGAATTATAATCACTTGCATTTGATTTGATGATGTAACTACCTTGTTTGGAAGAGTGTTCAGTTTTTATTTGAATCATGATTAAAAAGCAAGGCTGTTGCCATTGTCTGATATAGTAAACATAAAGAAGTAAACTGTATCATACAATTCAGGTATATTTCCTACGTGTTCCACTATTTTGTGGTTTATACTTGACTTAAAATAAAGTGAGTCTGACTTGCAATCAATTATATTTGATAGACCTTGCTCGCTGAAGTACCCTGCCTTTATTTCGGTTGAAACTCCTCATATTAAGTATCTGCAGAGTAAATGTAAGTAAAGAGTAGTACAAGTGTTATAATATTAAGTTAAAGTCCCTGTAATTGTCACAATTAACAATTTTAAACCATAATAAAGTGGGATCATACGAAACTAAGGTTATCTGTTTCATGTATCGTTTACAAGTAATTAAGCTGTTTTAGGATCAAGTGTCACATCAAAAGCGTTTTTCTCAATTCGTTTTTGTGTAGTTTATTAGCATAATTCGTTAAAATATAAAATACTTTATTAAATAACAAATTAAAATACAGGTTATGTAAGGGTGGTTCATTTGACCTACTGTGACCTGCAAGTTGTCGACCATCGACGCCAGAGAGCGCATCAGTCTTTCGGCTTGTCGGTCTCAACATAATATGGCGTTTGCGCGGGTAGTGAGTATATTTTCCTTGATTTTGTGTTAAAAAAGCCCGATCTTGTCCTGTATTTGTGGTAAGATTATTGTGTAAGCCTTTATTATTTAATTTTCATTTGTACAAATGTGCTGCCTTAAACAGCAAATCTCCAACTAGCAGATTTATAATGCTGTAATGGCGTTTCCCTTAGAGCACTGTACTGGCATTTGTTTTATTCATTGCGAGAAAGCATTTATTTTGCGATTGATACATTGGTCTTATATCAACTTTTTTTGTTATTAAAATCTGATTTGGGTACATTTACAATATATATTACTTCCATGCTATAATTGTCTGATTATGGTATGGAAATGGAAGGGACAAAAAGCAAATTATTACAATATAACAATACATATTAATACATAATACATTTACATTCAATGTTCAATTCACCTATGTCATAATCATTGTTTAATTATATTAAGGGGCAAACTTAACTTTGAATACCATTAAACTACAGAAGCATTTGGGCTGTACGTAATAGTGCCCCTACTGCACTTAATTTATGGTATACAATTTTAAACATGAAAATAAAGTAATTAAGTAATTGCTTGGTATCTTTAATTTTATTGAAGTACCTAACAGTTTGCAAAATCGCCAGTAATTAAAATATTGAAAAATATAATTTTCGCTTTCAAGTCATACAGAATTTATTATTATTTCAGAATTTGTGGTTTTGTGAAGTGTCTTCTTGAATGACTGTCTAATCCCAATGCAAGTTCTACAAGAACCAGAATGGTGCATCGTAAAGGTAGTTGCATGCAGTATTTATATTAATTTGTTTATATTTATGTACTAATCAGATTGGTTAAGGTATAATTACAACGTAGTACCTATATCATTTAGAAACTTCTTTCTAACATGAAAGGCGAAGAAGTTTTACGGAAATAAAACAATCTGATCGATCTGAACCAACTTATTTATTAATTCTTCATCAATGCACAACTATTATTTCATTTAAGCCTGAACAGGTACGTTGTTAAAGTGTAAAAACTAAAGTCTAAAGTTGCAGAAAAGACAGCGGATGATATAATTAACAAAGCGTTATTTTGAGTGTTTAATTTAATGTGCCTATTTAGTTTGAATGAATTCTTCTTTTGTATTTTCAATACACTACAAGAAAGGTTTATAATATGTAAAACTAACTAAAACAAACACCAAGTCAAAAATTAAATTAATTGTTAGTCTAAAAGAAATTTGACCCAAACTAACGAAGTGCATAATAAGTATAGGTAATAAATTGATAAAAATAAAAATTCCCTTGCCTAATTATTATGTCAAAGAAATTAATTGTGCGAAACAAAAGAACTTTTGTCAGTTAATATCCTTACGTAGCTAGTTTGTGAACTAGCTGGATAGTGTTATCTAAATGTTTCCTTTGACGGATATGCCTAAGGTTACGGTATGAGAATACAACACTCATGAAGTCTTCTCCTACCATAATCTTATGATCCTAAATATTCTGTCAAATAAGATATTTGGACAATTTTATCCAGCTAGTTTACAAGCTAGCCAAGTAAGTATATGTAAAAAACATAAAATGACAATAAGGGAGAAAACAATAGATAAAACTACAGAAGGAAAAGTAGGTCTAAAATCAAACTTTGCAACGTTTAAATGCTAGTTGTCCTCGGTTATTAAGTTGATTGCGTTATTAATTTCCAGCATTTGTATGACGAAATGTTTGTCAACCAAAACATTTGCTATATTAACGACAGTGTCCAATAGCTCGTTCTCGACCATTTTCATTTGTTGAGTGCATTTTTTTATCAAGTCCAATATTGACTGATTAACCTGTAAAAATAAGGTACATTTCGCATACAACATCTTGAAACAACCATGAACAGTCTAAAGGTGCTTACCCTATCTGGGTTGAGAAAACTTGCAAAATTCAACTTTATCCTCTTTTTCGCCCCATTATCTTGGAAAAATATGGTGAACTCGTCAAAGTTTTCTTTTATCTTAAAGTAAATACCGGCAACCAGGTGTCCCTTAGGGTCTCTCTGCAAAAGACTTCGGAAGTTGTAAACCAGATTCCTTCTTTCGGTGACATCCACTGCGGTAACGTATGGTTTTGCGACATAAATTAGCGCTGTAGAAGTGGCCTGAACCAAACCGTTTCTGGTGTTCCTCTCTTGCCACGCCACAAAACTTCTGTTTATTAAAGAGAAGGCATAGTTGTATTCTTTGGTAAGGTTTGATTCCTGTGACTGGACGAACCAACCTGAAACCGAAAAATGTTTATTAAAAAGCGAGTGAGTGTTTTTGCGAACATAAGGTTGCAGAGGAGTATGGATTTCAATGGTTTACCTACCAGTTTGTGGATATTCCCCATCTTCCATAACAGTTACGACTCTTCCAATGTGATACCCAGGATCGCAGAGCAGAACCCCATTTCGTCCGTTCATTTCGATTTTCAGAGCCAAAAGGACGTGCTCTTTTTCCAAAGTGTCGACATACTTGTCCAAATCGTAACCGAAATTGGCATATTCGTCCGGACAGTCCAAATTCTCCTCGCAGGAGACCATGAAGAGATGTTGCGAAATCGGAACTGTTTGGGACGTGATTTTGGAAAGACGTTGCCAAAGTTCCAAGGCTAGGCCAACGCAAGTGTGATGTTCACTTGTTATACGTGGATAGTAACTTGAAAAGAATTCAGAAAGATTTTCGCATTGGCTGTTTTTATATGCCGAATAAAACTCCAGAAAGTTGCCGATCGTATTGTACTTCCTTTCCTCCAACATACTCTGCAGATGTCCTTCGATGGCGGTCACAACTTCCTGGTACTTTCCAAGACTGTCCAAACGAAGAGGCTTCTTTGCTTCCGTTTCCCAGCAAGGAAACGGAAGAGGATGATCCACAGGCCATAAACCTTCAACCTGAGTTTTTTCAATCAACGATATGAACTGATAATCGCAACTCCTATTATTGTTGTTTTTGGCGTTGTTTTTAATTGTTTCACCATTTTCTCCAAGAGCAAATTTGAGGGGTAACAACTCGTCGTTCGAGTTGTTTGTTTCACCCGTTTGGTAGCATGGTAAGTCGGAGTTGACCGACTCCCTAACCCCTATCAGGGGCCAGCCTGAGTCCCACTTTGTTCGGCTTGCGAGTCAACTTGGCCACTCGTTGCCCCATCTGAATGAAAAACAAATGATGCAGATGCATAGAAACAGAAAGGAGTTCAAGGAAATGAGGGGAGAGGAATTTTGCGGAATTTTTACCTGCCGACCGTAGGTAAATATGCTTGTTCGGTATGGTCCATTTCGCAGATTGAAAGGGGATGCAGTGTGCGAAGAGCCACCGGTTGCTGGACTTCATGTACAGCATCCTGCTGGTTGGCTGTACACAATAACGGCTGTAACGACTTTTTTTCACGATCTATAAAAATAAGGGAAACAATATTGCTTTAAATAGTACCAATTTCGTGTCCTAACATTTATGAAATATAATTTCATCACATTTGTTAGAAATGCATTATTTATAAATTATAAGTGAATGGTATTGATTTTCGCTCGACACGTTTCGATGTGCCTACGCCATTATTTAATAAGTACACGTAAAACAGGCACTATCGATTTTTCATGGAAAACCATATTAGGTGGGTAGTTTTTACTCTCCTGACGTAATTCAGCGGACGTCGCTGGTGCTTGACGTCATCGGGGGCGCAAGCTACTATTTGTAGATACCGAGGTTCAAACACATGTGCGCCTCATGCCGCATGTGTCGCATTAGGCCAAGCGTTTAATGGGACGCAATTTGGTGAAGCTAAGTGAGTCGCGGTAAACCCCAGAAACAATAGTTCAATAGTTACCGCGTCAGATGGTATCGCAGCGCGTCACGTCACGCTTTGTACTCCCCATTGCCATTCCTATTGTGTATGAAACGTCCCTTATAATACAACGGTAACAATCATTACCTTCTATCCATATTTGTGGATACCAAGGTTCAAACACATGTGCGCCTCATGCCACATGTGTCGCATTAGGCCAAGCGTTTAATGGGACGCAATTTGGTGAAGCTAAGTGAGTCGCGGTAAACCCCAGAAACAATATTTCAATAGTTACCGCGTCAGACGGTATCGCAGCGCGTCACGTCACGCTTTATACTCCCCATTGCCATTCCTATTGTGTATGAAACGTCCCTTATAATACAACGGTAACAATCATTAGCTTCTATCCATATTTGTGGATAACGAAGTTCAAACACATGTGCGCCTCATGCCACATGTACCGTATTAGGCCGAGCGCAAGATCATGCACAACTTGGTGAAGTGAAGTGAAGTGAAGTGAAGTGAAGTGATTCGTGGCGAGAGATTTCATAAATTATATTCCACATAGACAGTACTGACCGCGTTAGATGGTATTGTGGCGTGACGTGACGCAGTTTATACTCACCATTGCATAGAACATCCCTTATAATGCGTAAAAAATTTTGATCACCGATCTAAGTACTTTTGCTCTTTATATATGCGAACGATCCCCCTTCCCCAATAACAAGTCTTATTTAAATAATACAAAACAACTGGACGATAAATGTTATTTTTTTTCAGTAACTTACATAACGATATTAATTGTTTTGTAACGGTAACGATCATTAGCTTTTATCCATGTTTATGGATAATGAGTTTCAAACACATGTGCGCCTCATGCCACATGTACCGTATTAGGCCGAGTTCAAAATCGAACGCAATTTGGTGAAGTGAAGTGATTCGCGACTTGATTTCATAAACCCTATTCCACATAAACAACAGTGATCGCATTAGATGGTATCTTAGCGTGACGTGACGAAGTTTAAGATCATCATTAACCCTCCTATTGAGTATGCTACATACCTAATAATGCATAAAAAATTTTGATCATCGGTCTAAGTACTTTTGCACCTTGTATGTGCGAACAATCCTCCCTCCCTAATAATAATTCTTATTAGAATAATACGAAACAACTGGACGACTGTCTTTGTTTATGTGGTAATGTACATTATGATATTAATTGTTTTGCAATGGTAATAATTATTATCTTCATCCAAACAAACATTGTTTTGAATATGTTATTATATTATTAGTTGGTACAGTAACCAAAGTTTACAAATTCCTTCGCAAACGAAGCAATGATAAATGTGCATTATGTAAACTTTTGGAAGGAACGTGCATCATGTTAAACGATATGACATATGACGACAAATAAAGTAAACACTTTTGATATGCAATTATCAAATCAAGCAATAAATAAATATATCTAATTAAGATGGGAATTGTTATAAAATATTTTAATGTCATTTATGTATCACGTGTAAAGTACTTCAACAAAATTTTATTTGCTATTATCTTTTATGACTTTATCAATAATTCAATTAGGTATAATAAGCAGATGATAATTATTTCGATTAACTTGCTTATTGATAAGATAATTAGTCTTTTTTGCGCTGTGCACTTTACGTTTAAAGTTTTTGCGAACTTTCGATCGTGAGTACGTAAGTACGCGTACGCTAAATACATGTGTGCCTATTTAAGTATGAAGATACGTAAATTTTATATACCTATTACTATTTTTAACAAAAACTTATTTTTGTATAGTAGCATCAGTTCCTATATACTGTAATAATAGATAGTTATCAAATTACGTCCTCGAAGTTTAGTTTGTTCGTAATAATTCTCCGAAACTTAAAACAGAAAAATGACGCAGTGCACAATTATTTTGGAACAAATAAATTTTAATAATGATTACATCTCTGCCTATGCACGTTCAAAACATAATTACGAAACCATTAGCAATTACCTTTTTCCCCTAATGAGTTTCGTAATCAAAATTTTAGTTAATTCGTTGGTGTAGCAATTATATAGGTACAACTCCCACTTTCATTACCATACCAGGTAAAACCCACATTCATTCGAAATAAAAAAAATTACAAGGAACAGTTCTATTTCCAAACATTTATGTATTATGTCGTAAACAGTTAATCTTTTTGCTGTTTCTAACAAGCCCACTGACTGACACTATGTAAATTTTTTATGAGTTTTTCGATCTTTACGGGAATTTGTTCATTGGTTTTTTCTATTTATAAGTAGGGTACAATTACATTTAGAACAGTTTGACAACATTTTTAATGAGAGTTGTTTGATTGTTTTCAAATACATTTTGGCGAACATATGGTTCTCGAGAGCTCACGTCTACATCAGCTGATTTCACTTGTTCGTAATTAATTACTGCTATATACTGTACATATGTACATATACATGTATAAAAAATGCAACAATTCTGCGTCATTTTTGATTACACACGAGCATATTTAATTGATATGATTTTTAAAATATCTAAACTGAGGACGAATTTAATAAAATATTATTGTTATTACGTGGACATAAATATTATTATTTATAGAAAGATATGGTAGGTAGTACTCACCCATACAACGAAAACGCTTCAAATAAAAAGAAAAATGAGCCCACTAGGGGTGCACACGTGCAGTATTTCGATGTGGTTCTTTGAAAACGTGCAAGTGTTTCGAGTTGTATAACCTGGACAAATATAACGCCACTACCCCACCTCTCTTTATTTCTTTTGTCCTTCTCACTTTTCTTTGTTCTGTCTCACTCCGATCCTTATTTTCAATGCGGATGTGATGACTCAAGCGAGCGCAACTGTAACTCAATATTTGCGCTGAGGCGGATAATAAAGTTTACAGCGAATTGTTATTCTATTGAAACTCGCTAATTCCAGTAATAGTTGTATTAGTAGAAACGATTGTAATTAAGACGCACTTATTATTTTCTGATTCAGTCCACTGATTCTCGCGATTACTGTTGAAATGTTTATGTTTGCACAATTTGACCGTTTCCTTCAAAAAATACACGATCATCTTGGTGACTCCCACTAACTGGAAAACAAAGGAAAAAAACATTATTTTACAATATTCCCTGCAGTTTATTTATAAGTTCATATAATTTGAGTTAACCCTGGAATTCAATTGCACAACAGATCGGTAGATGAGTAATCTCTTCTTCGAATTAGAACTTTCTCCAAAAAGTTTCGGTTCTTTACGAAAACGAATCAATTTATAATTTAGAATTGGTGGGAGATTAGCCTACGTTATCGACATGGTCTATACGAATCAATCTAACAACTAATTATAGCAGTACATTGAACTGACTTGTAAGGTGACTGTCTTAAACCATATGACTCTGTAAGGGTGGAAGGTTCCAGTAAACCACATGCAGGATAAAGCCGTGGTAGACCATGTGGAGGAGTCAGGGGGGATTAAGATAGACTATATGGGGCGAGGGTAGATCAAAAAGCGGTTAAACCAGAGCTATTCGGTTTATCAACAGCGAAATGCCCCTAAATATCTACAGAAAGTACGATGCCTAAAATCTACACTAGGGATTTGTAGGTTACATTGTTTTAAAAAAGTAGGACGAACGCAATAAAACTACGCGGTATGTGTCATGCGATAGTACCCTATTGTATCGAAATAAAAAATGGGTAGTACAAAACAATTTACCTATATTATATTGCTCACCTTTGGTTTGATGGTGGAGTATGAACTCACCAAAAAACTGGCCCGATTCGCCGACGCCTAATATTGACGTTCGAGCACTTCAACGCGAGCTGTGATAGCAATTGTTCGAATGGTCGTCGGAACGTGTGGTAAGCGTCGCGACGCTAGAGCAACGCGCCGATCAATAATTTGACGTCACTGAACCTTGACGTAAAGACTTTGTCGCAATGCATGGTAGACGACGGGGCTCATGATAAAAAACCGAACAGAAAAAGCCAATAGCCTCAATAAGCGTTAAGAAAATTGAAAATCGAAATATGTATTGGACTTGTTAAGCAAAACTTATTAAATGATGCTAAAATTAAATCATTCCGAAGTTTTGGACTCAAGCGAAATGTCACCTCAGCTTGTTTAGGTCCTATGCTTGTTTTTTATTATATAAGAAAGGCACTAAGCATTCAGCAAGTTTTCTGAAATCGATTGTCTTTGTGTGTGAACTGTTCGAGTAATAGCGCCGACAAATAAAACCAATTTTTCAACAACACGTAGGCAACCAAAAATAATTTGTTGTTAATTATTTTGCATACCCTTTTAACAAGCAGAAGTTTTTTGAAAATATAAAAAATTAATGTTAACCTACGTTTTACAACTTTCCGTACATGGAAGAATGAGTAGACTTCTGTTTTTAAATATGATTAATAAACAACAATTTTGCAAGCCGTATGTACAAAACGTAAATTAGAAACATTCTAATAATCTCGTTATAGCCTAGAGTTTTAAGTGTATTAATTTAAATAATCTATTCAAAATGTCATGAAATATACGAAACAATCTGCTTCATACATGGTACCTCAAGGTACACCTCGTATATTTACTTATCAAATTAATGACATTTGGGGGCGTTATTATTACAATATAATTAATCATATCAGTTTTCTTCTATGTACTACTTCATTATCCACATATTAAGTACAAAGAGGAGGTAGGTGGTTTTTTAATTTAAGCAATATTTCAGTACTAAATTCTGTTTGGCTCCATCGAGTAATCCGTTTGTTATTTTTTTGTGTGTGCTGCGTTAGAATTGAAAATGAATTTAAAACGAAAAAAAGTGACCACTAAAAGTGCCACAAAAACCCATGATAATAAAAGACAACGTAGACGGTTTCGAGCTAGTTTCACCCCTAACAATGTTTTATTAAGCAGGGTAGGTAAAGGTCTATTTATTATGTATGGCTTACAGAAAATGGTGTCAGTACCAATTTAAACAATCGATTTTCTACACACTTATCTGTAACGGAAATTGACAACCAATTGTTTACTTTGAGTGATTTTATGAATTTCCTTCTTAAATTTGTCAACTTTTTCATGAACTTGTTCTGTAGATTTTTTTTGAAAGGAATTTTTAAATTAGTACATATCTTTATGCAAATATTTGAATGGTAGGTACACCTTGTAAACGATTCCAAAAACCGCTTTATGTGCTGTTCGTTTATTTATAATTCAAGGACCGCATTGTTTATTTTGCGATTATTATTGTTTATAATTACAATAGAATCCTCACGCCGCCACTGTTCTCGAAACTTTCCATTTCATTTGTTACCTCCACGCGCCAAGCTAAACAATTAAATAACATCAGACCAGTCGTTGTAACGACATGCGAAGACGCGACAGATCAATATTGGTATTTCTAGTAATGTATTCCTGCCGATCCCGAACGATCACGTCCGATCCGGTACATTCTGGACTCTTCTCGAATATTCCGGTACCGGTCAATGCCGCTATAAATACGAATTGCGCGGCGGGAATCGCGTTAGTTTGAATACAAACATTGGAAGAGCGCGACAGATTAAAGCAAACCGAGTGCTGTCAAAGTTGTTATTTTTTGTGAAATTCAAGTGCGAAACCAAACGCTGCTGTAAATTTCTAATATCTACGTGAATAAGTGAATCGAAAATGCCAAAAATACCAGCGATTGGAATTGATTTGGGTACTACCTACTCGTGTGTAGGTGTATGGCAGCAAGGTAAAGTTGAAATCATCGCAAACGACCAAGGTAACAGAACAACACCCAGCTATGTTGCATTTACCGATTCGGAACGTCTCATTGGGGATGCCGCCAAAAACCAAGTGGCATTGAATCCTGCTAATACCGTATTCGACGCAAAAAGACTCATCGGTCGAAAATATGACGATCCGAAGATCCAACAGGATCTGAAGCACTGGCCATTCAAAGTTGTCAACGATGGTGGCAAACCTAAAATCGAAGTCGAGTTCAAAGGCGAAAGAAAACGTTTCTCTCCAGAAGAGATCAGTTCGATGGTCCTCACAAAAATGAAAGAGATCGCGGAGGCGTATCTTGGAGGACGTGTCAAGGACGCAGTCATCACAGTTCCTGCATATTTCAACGATTCCCAGAGGCAAGCAACCAAAGATGCTGGCACAATTGCTGGTATCAATGTACTCAGGATCATAAATGAACCTACCGCCGCTGCCCTCGCTTATGGTCTGGACAAAAATTTAAAAGGTGAAAGAAACGTTTTGATTTTCGACCTGGGTGGCGGCACCTTTGACGTTTCAATCTTAACAATCGACGAAGGGTCACTTTTTGAGGTCAAATCAACCGCCGGTGATACCCATTTGGGAGGAGAAGATTTTGACAATCGCCTCGTCAATCATTTCGTCGAAGAATTTAAACGAAAATACAAAAAAGACATGAGCAGTAATCCTCGAGCATTGAGAAGATTGAGAACTGCCGCCGAAAGAGCGAAGCGTACACTTTCCTCCAGCACTGAAGCAACCCTGGAAATAGATGCTCTTTATGAAGGTATTGACTTTTACACGAAGATATCCAGAGCACGTTTCGAAGAACTTTGCTCCGATCTGTTCAGAAGCACCTTACAACCCGTGGAAAAAGCCTTGAACGACGCCAAACTTGATAAAGGGTCAATTCACGATGTTGTTCTTGTTGGGGGTTCTACCAGAATTCCAAAAATTCAAAGCCTTCTCCAAAATTACTTTGGAGGCAAACAGCTCAACTTGTCTATTAACCCAGATGAGGCCGTTGCTTACGGAGCAGCAATTCAAGCCGCCATTCTCAGCGGGGATCAAAGTTCTCAAATCCAGGATGTTCTTCTCGTCGATGTGGCTCCTCTATCGCTCGGAATCGAAACTGCTGGTGGTGTAATGTCGAAAATTATCGAGAGAAACTCTAGGATTCCTTGTAAACAAACTCAAACGTTCACCACATATTCCGATAACCAACCGGCGGTTACAATTCAGGTGTACGAAGGTGAACGTGCAATGACCAAAGACAATAATCTTCTGGGCAATTTTGACTTGACTGGTATACCTCCAGCACCTCGCGGGGTTCCCCAGATAGAAGTTACCTTCGACTTGGACGCTAATGGCATCCTAAACGTTTCTGCCAAAGAGAATAGTACTGGAAAGTCCAGGAATATTACCATAAGGAACGATAAAGGTCGTTTGTCTCAAAGAGACATAGAGCGCATGGTCTCCGAAGCGGAGCAATACAAAGACGAAGACGAGAAACAACGTCAAAGGGTTTCTAGCAAAAATCAGCTAGAGTCGTATGTTTACAACGTAAAACAAGCCGTGGAAGAGGGTGGTAGTAAGTTGAATGACAACGACAAGAGCAGAGTTCTTAAGGAATGTAACGAATGCATTCAATGGTTGGATAGAAATCAAACGGCAGAAAAGGAAGAGTTTGATGACAGACTGAGCTCTATTCAGAAAACGTGTGCTCCTGTAATGACAAAATTGCATAGAGGAGGCGAGGGTGCAGCAACTGGTGGAGGAGCCAGGAAAGGCGGACACGAGGGTCCTACCATTGAAGAAGTTGATTAAAAGACTCATTTTTTTAATAATCTACGTATATGCACAAATTGCTATTTCTGCGCTTGTGTTATTAACGCAAATTAGACGATGCCATAATATATAAAAATATTATAATATTGATTGCATTTACAATTAGATAATGTGATTTTATGTGATAGATTCGGTACAGGATCAGTGCATTCCATAGTTTTTCTCGGGAAATCGTATCTTTGTAATCGTTGTAAATCGTGTGTATTGTTACAAATATGTTTTATGTTAAATTGTTTGTTATATTGTAGGATGTTGTTAGGTGTAGCTGTTATATTTTTGTTACCAAGTACATAAATATATTTCTGTATTTATTGTCTGATAAAGCATGTTAATGATGATAAAAATTGTATCTGTCCAATAAAGTGCTCGTTCCGTAAAATAAACAGGCTTCTTTTTCTTACGATCAGTTTGAAAATACATATGTAATACAAAATTGTTGATGACTTGCAATGCGCGTTACTTAATAAACAAAAAATATTTCTCCAGACTGTAAACTACATGAGCAAATATTGCTTTGTTTATAAACAAAACCAAAAACGGTTGGCACCGACGTTATAAATATTTTTAAAGTTACACGTGTTAATCGTTGTTTACGCAAATAAAAAAAGATAAATTAATCAATGAAATCAGATGGAATTAATTAGAAGGAAGAACAAAATTAGCCATTATCCATAAAAGTATGTGTTACGTCTTGCAGTGCAATTAAAGAAATGAAGATAATGGTGAAGACGTTAATAGTTTTCTAGAAAGTTTTCTAACACGGATGTCCTTCAACAATATGCAACTTTCATTTCAGAGAAGTCCTGCGTGTTTCTGTTCATCGTTCGACGAAAACAGAAAAGTTGTCCACATTTGAAAACTTTCGCCATCAATAAATAATTTTCTTTTGTAAACATAATTAATGAATCGGTATCCAAATGATCGATTTGATAATTCTAGAACTTTAAGATCTCTGTTTCTTTGACTTTTTTAAACATTATCATCAAATCCAGTTGGTAGCTATTAACTTAGCAGATGCCTACTAACTAATAGCTGCTGGAAGTTAAGATTTTATGAATTTAATAGAAGAATATTTTGATATTGGTAAGAGAATGTCGTTTTACACTAAATTAATTAATAGGATACTCAATTGTGTGTTCACTGTTGTAAATTGGTTGGAGTCTCCTTCATGTTTGAATTGGCCTGCGCCACTGAGGAGGTTGGAGAGAAGGAGGTAGCTAGCAACACAGCAAACACATTCGTTTCTTCTTTAACGTTTCTTAACTTTATAAATTGTTAAGTTAAACTGGTATCGGAAGGAAGGCGGTTCGGGCTTACACGGCTTTGGCTTTAGCTTTGCTCGGTTAGGTAGCCAGTAGTTAGTTCATTGGTGAGTGGACGCAGGTTAAGACCTTTCGCTATACCAAGGAGATAAAATTAATCAAATATCAAAGTGACCGTTGCATGCATTCACGTATACATATACACACACACATAACGTTTCTTCTTTTGTTTTTCTAACAACAATCGGCCAACAGACAGCCATTTGAATTTCTTCGATTAGAAAATGTTTGCTATTATTGCTAGTCGGCTTTGCGCGATTGTTAGTGTCGATTCGACGGAATATTGTGGTGATAAAAGTAGTTGCATTGGAGTGAATAGGTAATAAAAGTGAATGGAAGAAAAGTGACAATAATAACAACGGCAAGCAGGAGCTGTAGCCGCTCTGCTGCTGCTGCTGCTGCAACAGCAACAGCAACAACGTGGTTTAAAAAATCTGTCTCCTTTGCACGCATCGAATCCTTCTGGCGCGTACTAACGAGATTATCTGCTATAATCCCCCTATGATTGCATATAAGTGTAACTGTGCGCATTTTTTTACGTAATTTACCGTCAGTGGTTGGTTCGCGATGGAACCTGTGGCTAACAATAACTTGCATTTAAATTTACCAGAGGTAAGTCTTGCTGGTTAACAGAAACGTGTCGCAATGTGTTCTTAAAGTTAGTTTTACTATTATGTTGCCTTCATCTACAAGTTTCCCGTCCCTTTTCATCCTATCATATTATGTGTCTTTCCCTCTATCTGTCTCGTAGTTTTGCGTTAGTATTGTCCGATGCTGCTACCTGTTTTCTTGTGTAGCAATTCAAAGAAAAGTTAATCAAATTCGGCGCGTAGATGTAAGTTTTAGTTTTGATTTTTTGAAAACCGCGCGCTCTGTCTCCGTCACTCTCTCTTGACCCTGAGTCCGTCGGGGGCTCTTTAATAAAAGTAAAACTTGTCGCTTTAGGAATTTTAGCCATGTTTACGTGTGACTTAAGTCGGTTGGCTGGAGTTTACACTGATAATAATAATAATAATAATTTACTGACAAGTTGCGGCGTGTATGCGCAAATATGAATAGAAATCGGAATTTGCCGAGAATTTCTCTCGCAGGTCGTTGAGACAGAGGTGCGTGCGTAGCGGCGTGGCTTGTCCAATGAGAATGTATATCTGCATGTAAATAAATGCCTACTTACGTACCTACAAAAATAATTTGTACAAAGTAGAGACAAACCCTATTCATATGCCTTGATGCCTCGAAAAACACTGGCATCATTAAAGTCGTCTGTTACGAATGAATAAAGTAAGCACAAGGGATAAATAAAATTGGTCACAACAATATCAGCAACAAGGGAAATCGTGGGATTCTATTTAATTATTTGTTATTTATTATATCGCATTTCCGTCAAATAGAGAAATCACATTGTATTTTATCCACTTGACGAAGCCACGACTCGCGAAACAGTCGTAGGGGCAATAAAAGTAAATTTGAAAGTGTAAAAATCTTTTGTCATGCACATGAAATTGATTACCTTTTGTTTATTGTCATATTTTCTCATTAATTAGTTCTCATAACACAAAATCTCCCAATACTGTAATGAGAATAAACCACACATATAAAAATATTAGACTTTCTAGGTAGTAACGCTATGGTATACCCTTCGTCCAGTGTACCTACCTAAAAGCATAATCAAATGGTTCCTCACACTTAATAATAATCGTTTCTTTTAACTACAACGAAATTTAACAGGCAGTCAGGTAGTTTATCTTTAAAGGACTAGCTTGAGCAGCCCTAAGTTCAAAAATGAGGTAAACGGTTTCCGGTCGAAAATTCAATGTAACTCTTGAAAATTCTTTCGTTTCCTTTCTTATTCAAGTCATGGCACCGCTGGGGACCTTCTTACCTCTTTTGAGCGTTTAAAATTCCAGTTGGGACGGTTGCAGGGCAAAAGAGAAAATTTTATACGTTTGCTACATAGCACAAATAATGTATGAGACCCCATTTCACTCACAGCTATTAGTATTCCTTTCGTTATTGCAAATAGAAAACATATGTGCATGGGATGTTTCTTGTCATCTTTACTAAAATATGTTTTAAGCTTTCGTTAGTGCAGCGTTGATAACATAGAAACTGATGAGTCCCTCCTGCTTACACCGTAGTCTAAGACAAAAAGTCTTAAAAACTAAAAAACTTTTGCGTATTTCATTCCCACCAGCCACTAATGCTGGTGGCCGGGCAGTCCCTCCGGACTACGCCAGAAGATAGAGCGGAAAGCCCTCTTCAGCCTCCTTTCAGGAATCGTGGGAATGGGTGGGTGGTGGTTCGGGCGAGAAAGATGAAACTGGCGAAATGAAGACAGAAGAGAATGAAATATTATCTGAATGAAGTGGAGACGAGGAGAATCGTAGACGTTTAAGGTTTTCCATGGAAGACTATGTATGACTGTTACGTGAGGTACTTAGACAAAACCCATAAACCCAATCCCACAAGATGAGAGGTTTTAAAGGAAAACGTAAGGAAGACAACAAACAAAATATTTTCCATAAAAGGTTAAAAAAATTGAGCAAACAGAAAGAAGTAAGTTTCTATCAGTTTAGTCAGTTTACCTGAAGCTTTAATGAAAAAGCATGTCTGGAACGGAGGAGCAATACACAAACAAAGGATTTTACTCTAAACCCAATAACGTCTGTAGTAGTTATTTGCGATAACTCAATTTATTAAGAACGCTAACGGTGCATTAACGTTGGAGGGTAATGTATTGGGCGTTTTAATGTTGCAAGTGCGATAACTCCATGTTATTTTAAAATTATCCGTAGACTACAGCAGCTTTCACACCTTATCTTTAATTAATAATATTGCGTACATGGTCAATATTATAATCAAATATCTAATTTATTAATTATGCACCTGTGTATAAAAGTAGAAACTGAAATAATAAAGTGTAAGCGCGGTTTCCGTATACTTTTTAGGGCATACTTAACTTAAGTATTGCATTTCACATTCACTTCTGTAACATTTACCAAGCTTTTGCGCCTTAAGAATATGTAAGATAGACTATCTAGAGCTGGCAACAGAGTTGAATAGTTTAAACGGTTTTAATAGTAAGTGAATAATTTTTACTTTCTCATAAGTGGTCAAATCGAAAATTTTCAATTACGTAAGAAAATATCGTGTATGCTCAATATTTATAACGTGTTACCTCCGATGAAATACCTTTTAGGCAATAATTATACACTTATTTAGAAAGGAGCGTCATTCCGGAGATAGCAAACTTTCGATATTTCTCTATTTTCTCATAAAAGAATGTTTTGAACTGTCTGTCCTAATAGAGGAATGGTTCTTAATGAGAAACCAGACTATGGCAAGTCCTTTAAAGAGGACAGCAGCTCTTTTAATGCTCAGGGTGACAGAAATCATAAGGATCGGTATGGCACTCCGATGCACATCACTACAATGTGGAAAATAACGGGAAACCACTGCATTATGATAATCCCGAGTACAACATACTCTTACAGCTCTACAAGTTAAAAGATGGCGTCCTCTGGGGTAAAGCACTCCAGACGTAAAATAATCCCCATTCAGATATTCGGGCGGGGACTACCTCGGGGAATATCATCAAGAAGTGCAATAGGGAAAGTTGTAATATTTCACGAGTCGGAGTCGAAATGTGGTGTTACAAGCGAATGATGAGGATACTGAGGATAGAAAAGGTTAGTAATGAAGAAGTATTAGAAAGAATAAGAGAACAGAGGACTCTATGGAAGTCAATAAGAAATAGGCAAGATAATTTGGTAGGACACCTTTTTAGGCGTGAAGGTCTAGTTAGAGACATGTTAGAGGCAGAAACGGGAGTCGGGAGGGGTAGAGGTAGACCTAGATTAGATTACTGTCGCCAGTAGTTAAGGATGTGGGNGAATATCATCAAGAAGTGCAATAGGGAAAGTTGTAATATTTCACGAGTCGGAGTCGAAATGTGGTGTTACAAGCGAATGATGAGGATACTGAGGATAGAAAAGGTTAGTAATGAAGAGGTATTAGAAAGAATAGAAGAACAGAGGACTCTATGGAAGTCAATAAGAAAT